TTTTGCCTTAGAATATTGGATGCAGTTAGCCATATTAAAATGAATCATAACCAATATGTTCAAAATGTTTTAGATAAAATTGAAATTGAATATAGAAAACGTAAGAGCTCAATGGAGGTCATATAGAAAAACACTTTTTCACGGATTTTAATCTTATTTTGTTTTTTTAATGTATAATAGCAATAAATATCGTCAGGTTCTCTAATATTTTTGTTAGTTTGTCGTATTTCAAGGCTACTTTGATTTGCTGCTGTTTATAATTTTTAAAACACAGTATAAAAAAAGCTTATTTAATTTTAATTTTTTTAAAATAATTCACACAATTCTTAAGATACTACAATAAAATTCTGTATTCTGGGACTGATCGCAATAACACATCCCGTAATGTCCAATTTTTCTCCAAATTTACACAGGGCGCCACACAGCACTAATATTTAATTTTTAAATATTAATAACATTTTTGTGCCTCCTCGTATCAACCTGAACCGTTTTCAATATTCTTTTTCCAAAAATGTTTAATTGCAAAATAATCTCAACAAAATATCAAACTGAAATGACTTAAAAAATTTTCGATTTCTAGAGGATTTTCACTGATTGGATATGGTATTGCGATAAGTAAGATTTCCGTGAATTATACAGGGTGACAGGGTCAAAATTGACCTCATTCCTCTGGAGGTGTTGTCTGGCGGTATCTTGGGAGTACATAAAAAATAGTAATGTTATTAAATACTCAGATATTTACAAATAACTAGATCAGAAGGATGGCAACAACGTTTTTCAAGGTAATCTGCCTAATTAACATTACGTAAATACCTGTTCCTTCGTAATTATTAAAAACTCTGGTACCCATGGATGAACATATCGCAAAAAAATAAGAGACAATAACATACTTAGGTTAGGATAACGGTGTCACCTTGCGGTCAGTGCTGCGACAAAACAGCACTCTAAAACTGTGACACGAGAATTTTATATATATAGATTTAAAATTTCAACCTCTCATTACCTCTCAAAGAGAGCGCTTGAGTAGAATAATAAAAAAATATGTTAAAACATGTCCCCCAATCTATCTATTATTTTCCAAAATTTTTATGAATATATTGCTACCAGTTTCTGAGACATAGCCTTGTAACATTTTAAAAAACTCACGCCGTATAGGCAAATATAACGATGATTCAAAATTGACGTAATCCCTCTAGAGTTGTTGTCGGGGGATGTGTTAGGGAAATAGTTAAAAAAAAACTTGTTATTAAAAACCGAGAAATTTGCAAAAAACTATATCAGAAAGACGGCAACAATGTTTTTCAAGGTAATATGCCTAATTAACATTAAAAAGTGTCAGCTGTTGTACAATGCTTTCGAGTACGCCTGCTTCAATTATTTCCAATACCTGTTCTTTTGTGTCTGGAACCCGAACATCTATTGTCGTCCACTAGCCTGGAGCCAATCTTCCAGTGTCTCTAGCGCTTTGTTGGACTATGGCATTTCTCCGTAACTAATCGCAAATTTGATGTTGGTGTACATTTTGTGAAAGGAAATTCAAAGTAAGTCTCAGTTTGACAAATGCTTGTTATTATTGACAACGGCTGTTTACTTATAACTATCTGTTAATCACAAAAAACATTATTGCGGCCTTGACTTTTCATCAAAAAATTGTAGAGAACTAGGTATATACATATATGCGAGGTTTCTACGGCTAGAGCCGTTTCTCGCTTTTCAACTTCCATTTTTTTCGGTCTGTCTTCCACATCTTTCCTCCAACTTCTAGGTGATCTTCCGCGCTTTCAGCGCCCGGGAGGGCTCCATTTCCAGATGTTCTTAGGCCATCTATTTCCACCCATTCTTTGGGGGGTGCCCGTACCAGATTAATCTTTTGGTATCTATTGTGTCTAGAATGTTGCCTTCAACGGTCATCATCAGTCTTATAGTATCATTTCTTATGTGATCTAGTCCGGAAATATTACAGCTTCTTCTTAAAAGCATCCATTTGCATGGACCAACCTATCCTAATCTCTTTTACTGATTT